AGATCTCTGGGTGCAGACAAGACAAGATTCAGCCAGGTTCATGAGGTACAGAAATCACAGGCCTGGTGGATCTTAGCCATTTGTCATTGCAGAAAATCAACGCTGCATCTCCCATACAGGATTCCAAATAGGCTTTATGGGTTAATGGATGGGGAGAGGAACAAAGGTGTGCATAGTGAGATTCCTGTCCTGCCTCTTGAACATCTTTTATCTTTTGGATGATGACGCTTTAGCCCCAGAGGTGAACTGACATATTCAAAGTCACACAGGTCTCTCCACAGAAGCAAAGCTGGACCCTTATCTACGGGCAATTTTCTTTCCAATATTACTACTGTGTCTCCTGTAATGATGTCAGGCTGAAGCTTACTTTTTTCTCAGCTTTCAATAACAGTGATGATGATGATGATGATGATGATGATGATGATGATGAATTTTACTAGTCTAAAGAATTTAGAAGTTTCTTTGAAAATAAATTATGAGATATGAGGATGATCGCAATGACAGCATTCATCAATACTACACATATAATGTAGCAAAAGGACCAAGTAAGGCACTAACATCTGACAGAAAACATTGCAACAGAGCGTTGAACCCTTTGGGAAAGGGTTGTCAGGCTGAATTCTCTTAGATACCAGTTATTAAATGTGGAGGAAGGAAGGGCAAGACATGGCTGCGGTCAATGCAGTCAGAGAATCACTCCCTTAAAAAGAAGGGCAAACAACAGTAACAAGGAGATAGAAGATTCTAGAAATAAGCTAAATGTCTGGAAACAGGGAAAAGTATACCTAAGTGAATCATTGTTAGTGATTCCTCTTGATAGGTAAGAAGAGTACATTCTCCAAACCATGTGTTTTTGTTCATTTGTTTACAATTTTCTATCAGGTCTGCTGAGAATCTGGTTTTGTGTGACTTTTCCTCTGTGACAGTCTACCTTTAATTTTCAGTTTAATGGACAGGAACATAAAATTCTTTGGATAAAATTGTTGTGCACTGTATTTATGGTAGACTTATGAGGAGACAAAGAAATCGAAGTTCATTGTAGATTTCTTTACAAATCCATTTGATTTTTAAATTGTTAACTTGTTTTAAATTGGAGTTCGTGTGCTGTTAAAACCCTACAGTTTACAGAATTAGAACTCATGAAATATGGGCTGGAGCGGGTAGAGGGATGCTGGAGGGGGCTAGTTAGGGAGACCTTGGATAATGCAAGTAGACTCAGAATTTAGGTAAAGACTGCCATTGGCTAAAAAGGAATGACTGATATTTTTTCAAGTATTTCAATTTTATACTGAAACTCTAGGGGAAATTGAGACTTATTTCAGGCAAAATAAAAAGCACACAGGTGGGGCTGGAGAGATGGCTCAGCGGTTAAGAGCACTGGCTGCTCTGCCAGAGGTCCTGAGTTCAATTCCCAGCAACCACATGGTGGCTCACAACCATCTGTAATGCGATCTGGTGCCCTCTCCTGGCCTGCAGGGATACATGCAGACAGGAAATTGTATACATAAGAAATAAATAAATCTTTAAAAAAAAAAAGCACACAGGCAATCCTAAACAAGGAACAGAATAAAATGTACCACATCCACTTCTGAGGCCTGACCTCTGCTCACATTGCCGAGTATGAGTCAAACAATAACAAGATCTGATCATAACATTCATTAGGTTACCTAGTACGTCATTTGAGATATGCAATTGAAATCTGACCTTTTTGACTTTTAAAAATGTGAGAATTTTCATGTAGGTGCTTTATTTATTGTTTGGTTGGTTGGTTGGGTGGGTGGGTGGGGGCCGAGTCTCACTATGCATCTCTGGCTTCCTGGAGCTCACTCTGTAGACCAGGCTGGCCTCAAATTCATAAAGATCCACCTGCCTCTGCCTCCTGACTGCTGGAATTAAAGATATGTGTCATCATGCCTGCAAAAAATAAAAAAGTAAAAATAAACTAAAAATGCTCCATTCATTGGTCTATTATGAGCCTCTCATCTTCCCAATAAAAAGTAATCCACCCCTCTTTCTCTGTGGTGTGTGTGCGTGTATGTATACATGTTTGCACGTTTATTGGCACATCTGTGGGGGTGCATCTGCCTGAAATTGATGCTAGGCATCTTCCTCTCTGCTTTGAACGAGGTCAGGGTATCTTGCTGAACCCAGGGCTCATTTCTGGCTGGTCTAGCCCGTTAGTTTGCCTTAGGGCTTCCCTGTTTCTGCCTCTTGAGTTATGGGATTGCAGGTGGCTTCCATACCTGTCCAACTAGTCACATGATTGCTGGGAATCTCCAAATCTTATGCTGTGCAGCCAGGGTTTTATTCACTGAGCCATCTGCCCAGTCCCTCCCCCCAAATCTATTTTTAATGGACTCTGACCAGCTTAAGGACTTTTGAATAAGTCCCAAAAGTTCTGAGCATCTCGTTTCCTTTTGATGTTGGGTTTAGAACTATATGCACATTTCACAGCTGAGCCACAGCCATTTATGTTAAAGGAATGTAGTCCATTAGATGTTTGCTTAAAAAGTTGGAGACTTCTATGTCTTCAGTGAGGGGGTAGCCTCTTCCCGTTAATTAACGCATCCTCTTTCGTCAGTCAAAACTTACAGTGGGCCATGTCCACAAATACTAGAAAAGGAATAGTATGAGAACGCACTTTAAGAGTGAGACATTTAAGAATGAGACTTGCTTAAATAATGACAGTAAACACAAGAAAAACACCCAACAAAGGATAACAAACCCCAAACCGGCCAAACAACCAACAAAAATATGTCAATGAAGCACAATGCAGAATCCGAGGGTGAGAATCTCCTCAAGGGCCTGGGGGAAGAACTGGGATGATGCCTGGCACTCAGCTGCTGGGACCTTCAGTTCCTGAAGATTTGATGTTCAGCCTTGCTGAGGAATGCACAGCCAGGATAGTGCCACCATCAACTCTACTTCTAACCCCCACCCCAGTCTAACCCCCCCACCCCCCACATGCTGCCTGACAGTGGAGAGCTGAGTCATGTCCTTGTTTTCCAGATACTTGTTTCTCATAGATGTGACTAGACCCAGAAATGCCCATCATTTCTAGAGGGGGAACACAGACCTGGACGCTTCCAAGGCCCCCATAGGAATATTTCTTCCCTTTTAAATTATTCAGTTTTTGAATTTCCTTTTAAACCTGACAACTGTCCTTGTCCTGCCTTTACACATCCTCAATCACCCCAGACTCAATTTTGTTCCCCCTTCTTATATTCAGGAAGGATCTTTAAAAAGCACAGAACAGGATCGAATGCACTGTGCTGCCCCCACCCTCCAGCCCTCCCCACCCTCCAGCCCTCCCCACCCTCCAGCCCTCCCCACCCTCCAGCCCTCCTGTTCTCACAAACACAGCCTTGTAGGGTTAGCTGATCTCTGGGCTTTATTATCTCCCCCTCTTTTCTTTCTTTTTGTCCCCCCCCCCCTTTTTTTAAGAATGGTGCAAGGAAAGTAAAAGTTTATTGAGGGTAAAGGTTCAATGACTATTTTTCCCTTGAACAAATTAATCTTGTATAACCTACATTATAGAGGCGAATTTTTAAAAGAGGAGGAAATGACCACCAGGGCCCGGTTTGGAGCTCTTGTGGGTCTGAGTTCATGTTTGCACCAGCCAGAGATTTTCAATTAGCAGTGCCTTGGAAAGCAGGGAGCTGGGCCTTTGTCAGTGTCCTGTGTGAGGACAAGAGCAAATAAATTGGAAATGGTCTTGGGCTCAGGTTCCTGGGAAAATGTAACAGGTGTTACAGCTATGCTGGGTGTGAGATTTATGAAAAAAAAAGAAGAAGAAAAAAGCCACTCAGGCTTTGCCCATAGAATTCTGCTTTCTAGCCAGGGCTTCAAGTAGGAAGAAACTAATGACTTCATTACCATCTCAATTCTGGGAAATGCAAGCTCCAGACCTGACTCATTAAAGGGAAGGTATAGACCTTACAATATCAAAATGTTATTTTGAGCAATGCCCTTAGTGGGGGCGGCTCACCCGAAAAGAATGTATCCTCGAGGAGTGACGCTGTGGCCAGAAAATAAGAAATAGCAAAATAAAAACAAACAATGCAAAACAGAAACCTCATACACACACACAAAACAGACAAAACCCAAAACAAACCAAGAAAACAGAAAAAACAACAAACCCGTGCAAAAACTGGGAGCGAGAAAAAGAAAAAAGAGCAGCTTTCTGGCACACCACACTGTAAGGGTGCTTGTTGGTTAGTCCACTCTCTTGGAAAAGCCTCTGCTTCTCCCCGTCCTTCTCCCGTGTTGTGACACATTAAATGGTTCTTCTTGTTGTCCCATTTCTAGTAGATTGTAACTGGGGATGAGCTAGAAGGCAGGAAAGATGTCAAATTTCCACGCAATGGAAAAGGAAAGAAATCTCTTCAGTCCTAACAGGACTTAATAAGTCTAACCGGAGTCGTGCTTAACTGGTATCAATTAACTGTAAATTTTATTATTACATAATTGCCTCTCTTATTAATCTGCAATGGGAAAAAACATAGCCTAGGAGAGTCTGCTCCTGTCCTATTTATTCTCACAAAGACTCCTTCGCAGCCATTGTGCTGCATTTTATTTCACATGGGCTCTCTACTGCCTGAAAGAAGAACTTGGCCAGGGAATGGCAATTCCAGTAACCTTCTCACAGCCCATTTATCTCTAAATGCCAGTCCCCTGGTGGGGGTCCTCCAGCCCCGTAGACTGTTTTTTATTATGCTGCCTACATGCTTTGCTCCCCAGAACACCTTTGAGAAGAAGAAGAAAAAAAAAGTCGAACGACAGACTCAAAGCTTTAAGTCGGGTGAGCTGGCTTTCAAACAGCCCCGCCCCCACCCCGTTCCTGAGAAAATGAACTTCCCATTAAGTCTCTGGTCACAATTTCCTTTCTCTAGTAATGTAAGTCATAATGCCTTCCCAGTGGAACTGAGGGCCTCTATGTTCTGGAGACACACTGAGCCTTGACCAGAACTAGTAGGCTGAATCCCTCTGACTTTTGGGCATTCGTGCCAGTGGAGGTGGCAGCTGCGGAGTAAAGCAATTTGGATGACAAAGCAGGCGTGAGGCAGAGGAGAATTGCCATGGGACTCAGTTAGTTGGCAGAGCGCTTGCCTAGTTTCCGATCCCAGCCCCAGACTCAAGCAGGCATGGTGGGACTGGCCAGTGATCCCAGAACTCAGGAGGTGGAGGCAGGATGATCAGAAGTTAAAATTCATCTTTGGCAGTGAGTTCAAGGCCAGCCCGGGCTATATGAGACCCTGTCTCAGATGAAAACAAAAAGCAGATTACGTAATAGGTATCCTTAGAAACTGTGTTTTCTCCCCTTCCCCTTCCCTTCTCATTCCACCCCACTCTGATCCTTTTGACTTACCTAAGAAAAATTAACTAGCTGCCGGAAGTAATTTCTCCTGTGGCGGTCTAACCAGAGAAGAGGGAAGAAGGCTCCTCTGTGGGTAAGGGAGACTTTGCAAAGTGGTTGTCTCATTGTATCCTCTCGTCTCAAGTTCGTCACATCCCGAAGCCCCCAAGGATGGAGCTTCCCCTGCTTTCTTCCATTTGTGAAGAAACCTCTTGTCTCTCATCAAATTCTGTGCCCTGGGTTTCCCACCAAGCATCTCTCAGCACGCATCTTGGAGCCTGGTCAATGTGGCAAAATTATTCATTACAGGTTTTGCCATGCTTAGTTGCTACAAACCGACTTCATGCCTGACCACCCTGGTGATTTCTGAGGCTCCGATTCAAGACTTAATTAATCTCTCTTCTTTGCTTGTATTGCAGTTTTGACCATTTGTCTCTCTTAGCTCATGGATGTGGATGTAGGAACTGCTTATATGAGTAAGCTGTGTCATTCACGAACTAAGTTCACCTGCACTGTTCCTTGTGGCCCTCGGCGACAGACTCCAGACATAAACAAGTAAGGAAGCAACGATCAGAGGACTTGTTACTTAAGCTTGAAACTCCGATCTCCTGGAGAAGCCTCCAAAGTGCTGAGCGTGGGAGGACCATAAAGTCGTGTTAACCATGCAGATGTGTTTGCTTGGTGTGTGTCTATTTGAGGGGATTTTTTGAGATAGCTTCAAATTTGATATATAGTGAGAATGACCTTGAATCTCTGATCCTCCCTCCCTAACACCCTGCATGATGAGTGCCGGGGTAAAAGCCTAGTTCATGCAGTGCTCAGGATCAAACCCAGTGCTTCCTGCACACCTGCTGGGATGCAACCCTATTCACCCAACTCTGTTCCAGTTTTACTTTTTGTTTGAAGAAGTCTCAGGTTGTCCTCCAACTCACAATGATCCTCCTGCCTCAGCTTTCCAAGTGTAACCCCAATTTACTTGATGCTAGGAATAGAACCCAAAGCTTGTGCTTGCTAGACTCTACCAACTGAGCTTCGTCCTCTCTATAAGATTTTGATAGAGTTTTAAAGCTCCTTCTCCACGCAGGTCCATGCAGCAACCTGATGTGTTGTCCTACGTGGTGACATCAGAGGCACACCTTTGAAAATTGTTTTACTCTCTGCCCTTTCAGTAGGCTCCAAAGTGGGGTTTTGAGTTAGAAGATAATTAAAGTTCATTCTAATGTCAGGTGGGAGTTAATGATTCATACAATACATAGAAAGGTGATGCAGTATATGCATAGTAGTTTCCCAACCTTAAAGGGCAAGAAGTTAAGGAACAGAGTTGTCATGGAGGAGGATGTTGTTAGTGAAAACAGGAAGACCCCAAGGCTGTCCCCCCCCGCCCCCCCCCCCCCCCCCCCCCCCCCCCCCCCCCCCACCCCCTGGGAAACTAGCCTGTAAATTACTATCATTGCTTTGTGTCCCTTGCTTCTGGCTGTGGAAATAAAAGCATCCTGGGTGCTAAGTGAAGGACTAGAAAGCCTGGATACAGGATCTAAGGTCTTTGCTCTGTTTGCAGCAAACAATCAGAGTCTGAGGTCCTTTCATGGATGCTAACTTCCCCTGGAAGAGGGAAAACGCAGAGTTAGGGAACTGTGGATATCCACCGATGACTACTCCTCCCCCACCAAGAAACAATCATAAAAATAAATGAAAGAAAAAAAAATATGACTTTCTGAGCTTGAAAAGTTGTTTGCTGTTCATTCAAGCTCAGGCAGCAGCATTCTATGGGCACAGCAGTGCGTACTCAGAGTTCCTTTGGAGGCCAGAAGAGAGTGTTGAATTCCTTGGAGTTGGAGTTACTGGCACTTACTGGTCACCCAAAGTGAGTGCTGGGAACTGAGCTCCAGTCCCAGAACAGCAAGCACTCTTAACCACTGAGCCATCTCTCTAGTCCTAAGGCACCGAGTTCTATCGGATAAATAGAATTTTGCCAATTAAAAATTAAGGCAATACTGATTTATAGCCATATTAACCAAGTAGAGCACTACTTGGGGATCACAGACACTAGTTTGATAACAGTAATGGCCACTGTTTGAGGCAGCATGGGGAAAACATGAACAACGTCCTCTCTTGCTTTTGAGAAGGTATGCAAGATGAATCACATCTATGGAGCATTAAAGGTTCCCCAACAGGATAGCAACACGGAGAGCATCAGTTATCCTTTGTGTGGGGTGAGCTGCTGATTGGAGTTTTCACATCAGCTTGCAGAAGCTTGCAGACTTGATGTTGGGGCCTTAAAGTTTGTTTCCAATACGTGTGCAAGAAAGGAGACAGTGAGCACAGGGTGCCAAGGTGTGGGGACTCTTCCTCTGCTCAGTGTTCTGTTCTGTACCAGTCACGGGCCATTTCCAGCTCTCTGTCAAAGTGGTGTGTCAGAGCCAAGACTAAGTCACCCTGGCATAAGTATCACTTGACTATTGCACAAAAATAGAAACAATGTCACTATGAGCTCCTTGACATTTCTGCTTTTGTTGATGATATCCTATTAAACAGCTAAAATTGATGCTACCGCCAATTATCAAAGCTGTATACGAGCTTTAGAAGGAGCTTAGACAATTGAGTTGGTTTTCATTTTTATGTTGGCAGAACCAGGACCCCTGCTATGTTATAATTTCCAGGTTAGAATCTGGATGGTGGTCTACTCAGAGTGTATGCTCTTTCTCCTTCATTTTTACATCCTCACTTGCCAATATCTAGGAACATAAGTGTATTTCTAAAATATCATTGGGTAGGTGAGAGGCTAGAGTAGAAATGCCCCTCTAAGAGTTGTTTGCTCACACCGTGGGTATGTTCTCATAAGGAATTGTCATCTAGATCTTAAATATGATATCATTTTCATAGTTACTTTTCACAGTGTAATGCTCAGATTCAGGACCTGCAGTTGTTTTATTTATTAACTTATATATATATATATATATATATATATATATATATATATATATATATATATATATATATATATATATCTGGGAACTGTGAATTAGAAAAGGAATCCAAAGATGGATCATGTAAAGGAAACCTGAATCTGTAAGATCGTGGGTGATTGCCTTTGTTTGCAGACATGGATACTGACGTATGCTCTTTCTCATCTAACTGCTTCTCTTGAGAACTCTGGGGATACAGATATTTCAGCTGCATGTTTGGATGACCTCCTGTTCAATAGCTGTCCAATTTTGCTTTCTATTGCTGTCATATCTACCACAACCAAAAGCAAGTTGGAGGAGAAAAGGTTTATTTGGCTTATACAATGTGGTCATAGCTCATTATTGAGGGAATTCAGGGCAGCAACTCAAGGCAGGAAACTCGAGATAGAAAACTCAAACGGAGATCATTGGGGGACACTGTTTACTGGTTTACAATCCGTGGTTTGCACAGCTTCCTTCTCTATACAACTCAGGACCACCTGCCTAAGGAGAGCTCTGCCCACAGTAGGCTAGGCCTTCCTACATCAATCATCAATCAAGAGAAGGTCCCCATACACTTGTCTATAGGCCAGTCTGATGGAGGCAATTTCTCAATTGATGTTCTCTCTTCCTTGTGTCAAGTTGAGGAAAAACTATCTAGTACCATAGAGTTTTACTCAAACAAACTAAACTTTGCTTAGGTTTTTGTTTTTTGTTTGATTGACTTTTGTAGCTAGAGTTTTCCTGCCTGGCCCACAGGCAGGACAAATCTCTGTCATCCGCCAGTCCCACAGCCTCTCAGACCCAACCAAGTAAACACAGAGACTTATATTGCTTACAAACTGTATGGCCGTGGCAGGCTTCTTGCTAACTGTTCTTACAGCTTAAATTAATCCATTTCTATTAATCTATACCTTGCCACATGGCTCGTGGCTTACTGGCATTCACATGCTGTTTCTCATCATGGCGGCTGGCAGTGTCTCCTGACTCAGCCTTCCACTTCCCAGCTTTATTCTCCTCCTTGTCCCGCCTACACTTCCTGCCTGGCCAATCAGTGTTATATTTGCCATACAGAACATCCCACAGTGGACTTTCTTAGGCTGCTGTCGAAATAGTAACCCATTCCCATGTTTGGCTGTCAGCTCCATTCTTTGTGTGTTTGTGTTATATAGCTATGCAGGGTAGACTGAGGGAAAGATTTAATGACAGTGTGTGAAGTTAGAAAATAACAAAAAACTGTACTAACTGACTCTCAGTACTACAGACAGCAGTTTGTATACTCAGGGCTTTTGTATAAGGGAGGGAATACAGAGATACAAGAGACTCACCTGACTTTGCTGAAGGGAAGACTGGCAAAAGGAACCACATTCTAAAAGTGTCACCCTTGATGAGGAAGAGCAAAGAGTACATTTCTGTGAACTGTAAGGCCACACGATATTCTGAAAGGGCATTCAGCTTGTGTGGCAGTTTGAATAGGTATGGCCCCCATAAACTCATGCGTGTGAACTTGACCCACAGGGAGTGGCACTATTAGGCAATGTGGCCTTGCTGGAGTGGGTGTGGCTTTGTTGGAGGAATTATGTCATTGTAGGGTGGACTTTGAGGTCTCATATGCTCAAGCTATGCCCAGTGTGACACACAGGTCTCTTCTGCTGCCTTTAGACTAGATGCAGGACTCTCAGCTCCTTCTCCAGCACCATGTCTGCCTGCGTGCTGCCATGTCCCGCCATGATGATAATGGACCAAACCTCTGAACTGTAAGCCAGTCCCTGTAACATGAATTGCTAAACGGTCTTATTAATAGAAAACCCAGAGCCAGATATCGGGGTGAGGGCTGAAAGATCAGAGAAGCAGAGCAAGCCAGCCATTAGTTCTTACCTCTTCAAAATCCTCAGTCTAAAGACAGTGAGTTCCTATTTCCTCACACCTTAAATACCTTTCTCTGCCCTGCCATATTACGTCCTGGGATTAAAGGTGTGTGTGCTTCCCAAGCAAAGACATGAGATCTCAGTGTTGGGATTAAAGGTGTGTGCTCTATTCCCAGTGTGGCCTTGAACTCACACAGATCCAGACTGATCTCTGTCTCCTGAGTGATAGGATTAAGCTTGTATACCATCACAACATTGCACTGTGAACTACTATAAAAGTATGTTTTTGTTATCTCGTTATTTTGAGCTCAACAGTGATACTTGAACACCAAAAGTGCAAAGTAATTTAGATTTTTCTACTAAATGTTGGGAAAGTGGTTTTATTGTAATGCATTCTTATAACTTGCATATAATTTTATAGAGCTACAAGGCAGGTCAAGACCTAGTTGTCAATAATAGCTTTAGTTGGTATGGGAAATAGATATCAGTGTTTCACATGTACAAATAGCCACTTTTCTGAAGGGGCTTCTGAGGTCATAAAACTACCTAGAGGTGAAGAGGTCCTGTGGACTGGGTTCTACTGAGCCTTAGCTGGTTTCCTGGCCCAGGATTCTGGGCCAGGAAATGTGAACTATCTTTTCTCTAAACTTTTTATTTTCCCCTCAAGACAATACAGCCTTTGCTGGTCTGGAATTAACAAGGATCTGCCTGCTTCTGCCTCCCAGATGCTAGGATTAAAGGCATGCCCCACCAGGCCCTGCCTCTGTCATTGTATCTGCGTTATAATGTACTTCTGAGATCCTGCTACTCCACAGCAGCCGAAACTCAGGGGACTGTGTGTGTTTATGTGTGTGTCTGTGTGTAGGTGTCCACATGTACGTGTGTGTGGAGAGGCCAGAGGACATCTTCAGATGTCACCCACAGGTACTACCCACCTTATGTTTTGAGACAGTCTGTCATTGACTTGGAACTCAGGATAAGGTAGCCTGACTAGCCAGCTAGCCCCAAGGGTCCACCTGCCTCCACCTCTGCAAGTGGGTGCCACTACCCAGCCAGCAAGCCCAGGGGTCTGTCCACCTCCACCTCTACAGGTGGGAGCCACTATCACTCCTGGATTTTATTTTTTCCCTAGAAGGCCTGGGGATTAAACCCAGGTTCTTGTAAGGCACGCACTGTACCAGTGAAGCTCTCTCCCCTTCTCAAGAACTAACTTCTTTATTGTGGAATCAAATTCTCATCCCTTTCCTTTGCTAGTCATGATGCAATCTTTTTTCTTGCTAGACTGTGTCTTGGATTGTTCCTTCCCACTCCCTGTCTTTTCATGCACAGCGTATCATGGCGTCAGCTCTGTCTCTACTATTGACCAACCCAACTCTATGATCCTATTGAACAGGTTAATAAAATTCTTTGAGCCATTTTTGTAACCTGTCAAAAACAGACAATATTTTCAGGCTTATAATGCTATTGAAAATATGAATGGGAAAACATACATAAAAATGTGGTTTATGCTGGATATTCATATACATGACATTGTTTCCCCTAAAAGCTAGTGTGCTGTGTTTATATTTCCATCTCTCATGGTGCTTCAGGTATCACAGTTGTTCCATGAATGTTTGTTTAGTCCTCTGATGTATCCTATCACTCTACCAACTTCACAAAGCCTCCCTTCCCTGACCAACCTTCAGCTTCTGTTTTCCCGTCTCCAGACAAAATCACCACATACTCTTCAATAAGGCCCTACTATCCTTCATACAAATGACAGAGATCAAGGCCAAGTGTAGCTTGAGTTTTCCTGCCTGGCCCACAGTCAGGACAAATCTCTCTCACCTGCCAGTCCCACAGCTGCTCAGACCCGACCAAGTAAACACAGAGACTTATATTGCTTACAAACTGTATGGCCGTGGCAGGCTTCTTGCTAACTGTTCTTACAGCTTAAATTAATCCATTTCCATTAATCTATACCTTGCCACATGGCTCGTGGCTTACCGGCATCTTCACATGCTGTTTGTCATCGTGGCGGCTGGCAGTGTCTCTCTCTCTCTCAGCCTTCCACTTCCCAGCTTTATTCTCCTCCTTGTCCCGCCTACACTTCCTGCCTAGCCACTGGCCAATCAGTGTTTTATTTATTGACCAATCAGAGCAACACATTTGCCATACAGAACATCCCACAGCAGCCAAGTGTTGAGCTGGCTTGTGCTCTCTTGCAGCTTACCTGAGTTTGACTAGAAGGAAGAAGAAGCTCCAGATGACAGTGCGAAGGCTTACTGGCATTCTCCTGCAGGTGAGAGGTAAACTCTGTTTGCCATTAGCAGAACATTTGATACCAAGCAGGATGTCCCAGCACTGTGACTCAGTCATCAACCTCACCATCTTTAATAGAAGCAAAACGTATTAGTCACTGGTTAGGAACTATCTGCGAGTGATTGACGAGGGGTGATTAAAATAGTTGAATGTGAAATTGTTTCCATACTCAGTGAAGGAAGCACAGAACGATTCATAGGTGAGTCAGAGGACATGCAAGATAAGGACCTCAAATTCGAATCTAACACATATTCCTACTCTTTTAGGGATTATAAATAGCTTCAGTGTGTAAAGTTTCCTATGTCTACCCACCTTTCTGTTAAGGTCTGTTAGCTGGGAGAATCCACCTAACTTGGTGTCTACTGTCCGGTAACGTTCTCTCCCCCCCACCCCCACATCAACGTAGACATATGATTTCTACCCTTTCTCTTATCTCCTAGCACTATCTCCCAGGGACAAGCCCCGTCAAGAACCAACCCATCATTCTGTGTGTTCTATTTTCTCATTCTCCTGCCTGCCTGCCTTCTCCTGGGAAATGCATAGCCACAGTCCCTTTGCAGTGTTCCATATTCTGTGATACTCGGGCCCACCTTTCTTTAGGAGTAGAGAAATGTACTCCAAAGCTTTCAGAAGGAAAGCATTAATATTTCCTCTGTCTCAGAGGCTTGTGCCTAATACAAATCACAGTGATTAAAAATCCTGGAATCCAGGAGAACCTTGAGTACAGACATGCCCCAGTCCAGAAAGACATTTAAAGTGGAGTAGACACAGAAGTGATGGGAGATCAGTACATGATGCCATGTAGCTGTTTGCTGCTCACAGGTGGATGCTGGCTAATTATTGATCATTTTGTTTACAACAGTTGTATGAAATATATTCATTGTCACCATAAAGTAGTAAAGATTGCTACATATTTTAACAATAATAGTAAGCATTAAGCAAGACCTGATCAGTCATGAAATAGTCTTGTTACCTAACAGTTGTAATCATTACTACCAATAATGTCATTTAATAACCAACATATACTACTTATGTGCCTTGATGCTGTATTAAGTATGTCATGCATATTTTCTCATTTAATATTCTTAATAAGCCCAAATGGCTATTGTTCTGACTTCTATCCATCTTTTCCAGATGAGGAAATATATGCATATAGAGTTGAAATAAAACACCAAGGTTTTGTTCTTTGAAAATTCATGGGACAAGGATCAAACTGAAGCCTCACTCACAGGGAGCCTGTCCTCCGAATCTCTGGCAACTTGAAAAGAGGCAAAGCATCATCAGGAAGTGCCTTCAGGGTTTAAAGACGTTACTCTAGGTAAAACGCATTTAGAACTAACTGGCCTTGTTTGATACCTAACATTCAAACGTCTACAGCTGAGCTACAGGAAGATGTTTTTTTTAAGAGAGGGGATAATTCATTATAACCCTTTACTCTCCCTCAAATAAGGATATTTAAGCATAATGTCATTTGAATGATTTGGCATGTGAAAGGCCTCTTGGATATAAAGGTCCCTGTCCCTTAAGTGGGCCACCGAGCTCTGGGAAAGTCTGTCCTTGAGTGCACAGGTAAAGGGAGGCAGGGGCAAACCAGGACAGACACACTGAGCTGACTGAAGTAGCAGTGACTCATGGGAAAGGGAGTCTGAGCTGTCAGGACACCCTTGGAGACCTTGCCAGTTTATAAAGTCTTGATTGCTTCCCACCTGCTGAGATAAAGGGGCTCTTCTCAAGGGCGGGACACTGGGTTTCTGTCTTGGCTCCGCATAGACAAAGATACTTCCCACAGTTTTTGTTTACCTTTTAGCTTTGTCCACAAACTACAGACCAAGATGAGTCCTTTCCCTAGATAATTCAAGTTTGAATTAGCACCTCCTGTTCCTCTTCCCAGGTGGTTCCTCTCTCTAAGTATCCACCAATCTCTATTCCACCATGTAAATTTGCATAGAGATAGTGTTTGGGATAGGGTGTTTCTCCCAAGTTATAATTCACTGTGTCTGATTTTATTGCTAATAAACTGTAGCATTTAGATGCTGGGGTGGGAGCTGGGTGTCTTGGTGCATATACAGCACCTGTCTCCCCTCCCCCACTCCCATGCCCCTGAACAAATCAGACCCCAAAACTGGAAAGAAGAACGATAGAACACATTGATCAAAAAGACAAGACTGGTAAAATCTCCAGGTGGTCAAAATGAGTGCACAAGAACAATTACAAATGCTTACGCACGGGGTGGGGGTGGGGGTGGGGGGCTGGAGAGCTGGCTCTTGGGTTAAAAGCACTGGCTGTTCTTTCAGAGGGCTTGGGTTTAATTCTCAGCGCCCACACCAGGCTGCTAACAGCTGTCTGTAACTCCAGTTCCAGGGAGTTTGACTCCCTCTTCTGGCTTCCTCAGGCACCAGACACACAAGTGATATCCAGACAAACAGGCAAGCAAAGCAGCCATACACAAAACACAAATAATTAAATCTTTTAAACAATGCCAAAGCCACAAATGCTCACTTGGTGTTAACACACACTGGGAATTCTCGGGTCAGAGTTTTACACCTCAACAGAGTAAGCTACTGAAGAGGTCATTTAAGCAAACTCCTTTTTTTTTTTTTTTTTATTGTTTCCTATGTTAGAAAGCACCATTTACCCACTAGTATAGCCATATTTGTATCTGTGGATAGTGTGGTATGTATAACATATATACATTTGCAATATGTGAGAATATTAACAAAGATATCAATTAAAATTGGAGTGGGGATTTGGCTCAGTTTGTGGAGTGATCGCCCAGCACTCACAAAGCACTAGGTTCTAGTCCCAACACTGCATACACTAGGAGTGAAGGGGCATGCCTGTAATCCCAGCACTTGAGAGATGCAGGCAGGACGTTCAGAGTCTGAGGCCATTCGTGGCTGCATAGTGAGTTCAAAGCCAACCTAGGGTACATGACACTCTGTCTCAAAGAAAATTAATAATTTCTATCATTAATGAAATTATCATAATACCATTCATAACAGCTATTAATATATTGATTATACGTAATAAATAATTATATAATGTATTTCTATTATATACAACAGATTATATTGATATATCTATGAACATCTATTTGTCTACATATCTAATGTATAGATTAGAGATGAACATTTCTAAACATATGAGATGACAGACTAAATATAATTTTGGGGCCGGGCGGTGGTGGTGCACGCCTTTAATCCCAGCACTCGGGAGGCAGAGCCAGGCGGATCTCTGTGAGTTCGAGGCCAGCCTGGGCTACCAAGTGAGTTCCAGGAGAGGCGCAAAGCTACAGAGAAACCCTGTCTCGAAAAACCAAAAAAAAAAAAAAAAAAAAAATATATATATATATAATTTTGGATTGCATGTCAATATGCTTATCCTTCCTTCCTTCGTTCTAGACAAACAGAATTTTCTGGAGAAAGGAAAAGGACTATTTAATTCTTTCTTTGAAGTCGGGCCGAAGTTTGATTCATTATGAGGAGGAAAATTCCATTGAACATTTTCTTTGAATTTGATGACGGTCATGCAGGAACCGCTGGGTAAAGGCGGGAAATTGCAACCACTTAGATGTATCTTTTTTATTCCTCATTTCGGATGGATTCATTGAGTGCTGACTCTTTCACTCGTGTTCCATTTCCTGCTTATTAGTTCGAGAACATAAGCAGCAAGTCTGTCACTTCCACACTGCGTGAGGTGACAGTGTTTTGTTCTATGGACCAGATTTACTGAAGTCCTTTTTGAAGGTCTCTTGATGGTTTAGAAGTGTGTTGTCCATATTTGGATTTCTGTGATTTCACTACTCCCTGACCACTGGTCCCTTTTATTTATCTTTTATATTCGAAAGTGATTTGCAAAGAAAGTATTCGAGTGAAAACCAAATAAAACAGATCAGTGACTGTGCAAAGTGAGCAAGAACATCCATGAGCAATTTTACTCAAGTACTGAGTGTGTCCCTACTAGGAGCTTGTACAGTCTAATGCCTGTCTACCTCTTCCTACTGAGAGTCTAGTAGCGTGGGGCTTCTGATTTGCATTATGTTTGATAACTTCTGATTGCATTAGTGAGTTTCCATTTGGATATATGAGTTTCTTGATGAAGCCCTATCCTTTTCCCCAAGGCTGTGAGACAAAGTACAATCGGGTTCTGCGGCCCCTTGTACTCCAGCTGTAGCTAACATGATAATGTATAGCATGTTGTTACAGAGATTCTTTGCGGCATGTTCAATTCTGAAGAAAGGCAGCAGTCTCAGAGCAACAGGAGAGACACCCAGGCCTGGAACAGCTCAGCAGAGCTGTTTTACCCTTGGAAAAGCCAACGGACTCCCCTGTTGTGTAATGCAATTCATTCTCCTGGGAAGAATGAAGAAACCAGGAGGCTACTCCCTTCCCAGTAAACTGGTGTCTCCCAGATCACAAATCACCTGCTTCCTGTGTCTAAGGGGACGCTTGTCAACGGGAGAAGGCAGTGAAGATTAGCTCATTCATTGCATTAGCATGGTTACCTCATTTCATCTGAGTATACTACCGAGGCATTTCAAGTTCAGTACATCTTTTGAGCACCTACTGAGTACTAGCTTGATACTGTAGGTGCAACAATGAGCAGGTGTGTGCTCGCTGCCCTTGAGGAGCTTGCGACACTTAATAATTACAGTTCAGTGCAGAGGTTGATGTGTAAATGAGTAAATAATTATAAAGCATTGCAACAAATGATGTATAATAAATAATAACAAACGACACAACAATAAACAACATTGACAAGATGCCTTGAAAACAGAGTAGGAACTCCACATAAAAGAAACAGCCTGGGGGGTGTGAGCCTGGAGGGAGGGAAGGTAGAGGATGATAGGTAAGAGCCAAATATGGAGGACGTGGTATGTTTGGAGAAATAGCTGAACATTATGCCAGGGGTGAGAGAGTTGGGAGAGTGGTTTACATAGATCTTCAGATGAGCAGCAATCCTTGAGTTTCGTGTTTTGAGATTCAGGAGGGTGGGCCTGGAAGTGGTACACAGGAGAGGAACATTGACTGTCCACAAAACAACTGCAGAGAGG